ATACAGGACGACTTCAGTTTGTATTTTTCCTTGGCTGTTATTTTTTTTTCCTTTCTTCTTCTTCTTTTCTTCTTCTTCTTTTTTTTTTTTTAAATAAGTGTGTTTCCAGGTTCTCATATTTTCTTTTCTTTGAATATATTGCACATTTTATTATTAGAAAAAATTTTTGTTTCAGGCAAAAAGTTTTTCTCCACCCAGGAGGTACTAATGTGTATTATTTTCTAAAAGAGGTAAGTGGTTGTCTGTGTGGCCATCTTCAAAGGGGATCTAAGGGAGAAGAGGAGAAGACCGGAGTGTTAGTTCTACTCTGTATGGTGTCTCTGATCACAAGGCTTTATAAAAGGGGGCAATCCTTTCTATGTACACTTCACGGGAGACGACAACATGACTTAGAGACAAGCACCGCGTGCAGTGTCACTTACAGAATGGACGGGCTTGTAGGATCCAAGTCTGAACCGACAGCAAATTATTTCCACTATAAATTTTCCAATTCCATGTAACATGCCTGTAATGAATAACATCAGTTCAAATTTTTAATTAAACTGCTTTTGAAATTGCTAATTAGAATAAGACACTGCAGATAACTGCAGAGGTACAGATTGTGGAAGGCAGCAAAGCAGCCTGCAGTTGCCTCTGAGGCTACTCAAGAGGGTTAAATTTAAAAACAAATAGATGTTTTATCAAAATCAGAGGTCACACACGTAACTCACAACCCTGATAGAAACTTTTCAAGACTTCCTCACAGAACTCTGCAAATAACATAGATTTAAAGAACTAAAACAAAGCACAACAGAACAGTGTAAGAAAAGTTGTTCACTTGCTTGTAAAATAGGAATCAAAATGGACACAGGGCTCCAAGAATATAACTTTCTTACTCAGAGTAACCAAGGTCTGAAAATGGATTTCTAAAGATCCCAGAATCTTGGGGAAAAAAACCAGAAGAATTTCTAATTTAATAAAAATGCCACAATATATGACTTCATATAGTATACACGGAAATACATTTAAATCAAGGGGAATCTACATCTGTGAGGCTTTCTGGGCATTTTCTCATTTAACCCTATAGCATACTGACAAACCAGATACTACATTTCAGAAAAGGAAGGTGAACTATCTAAGGACTACCAAGTCAATGGCAGAGCACAGACTCCATTCTAGCCGTGTCTGTGGTTAACACCCAGAACACATAATCTTCCTTAACAGTATCCCATGAAACAGGAGTGCTTACAGGACAGGAAATATATTTTAGAGCTTTACAATTCAAAGAAGTCTCCAAATATCAAAACATGACAATGTGTATACTTCTTGTTGTCTTTTAATAGAGGCATAATTTTATGTAACACACGTGTGTGTGAGTGTGAGTGTGCGTGTGTGTGTGTTGGGGCTTGAGAAAGTGAGGGCCTCAGAAAGTTATGGCACACTCCCATCAGTGAACTATCTTCCCAACATCTTAAGTTCAGAAACCAGATAAAGAAAGAGGGACTTGGCCACAATCCCAGCAAGACACACATGCTAAGAGCTTATCTCAAACGAAACAACGTAAAATGAAATTAGGCAAATAAATGAATGCTAACCTGTTGTTGAAAAGATTCCTCCAATAATTCCACAGAGTCTTACAAAAAACTGCCAGAAAGGCATGTGTTCCTCAGTGACTGTCACCATGAGAGAACTGAGATCATATTTCATAAATATTCCAGAGACTCCATGGCTGCCTGCAGCATGGTTAATGATGCGTTCCTGAAGGAAGGGGAGGGGAAAAGAAACAGTCATGTGGGTGTACTAACACACATGCCTTACCAAGGTACAGGTGTGTACATAACATCCTACTCCTCAGGGTCAACTGCCCTAGACTTTAAGCTCTACAGAGACAACTAACTACCACTGTTCTTGTAGGGTAAACTTTTCAAAGAATCACTGTGATGCCGGTGTTGCACATCTGTAATCCTACACTAGGAAGCAAAAGCTGGGGGGATGTGCATTTGAGAGCAAAGCACTGTTTCAAAACAGAACAGGACCCAGAACTGAACTATCCTTACCATGTGTAGAAATAAATGGTCATCTTAAACACACCAGCTTATTCATGCACTTACAACTGACCGGGCAAGAAAAACCAAGTTTACACTGCAACATGCTCTTGTATTCTTTTCTTTGTAATTAATTCTTGTCATTCTATTTCTAAGATTAAATTAAACCTCCAGCGTTAGGAACACAGAGAGTATGGTCAAAAGCCCCTCCTTATTACTAACAAGGAGAACTGTATAAATGAGTCATCGATCAAGTTTCCAGCATGAATTCATGCAAAAACTCAGTACCACACTGAAGGCATGGACCAACTACAATAAAGCAAGCTATCTTGGGGATCAGGGCATCTAATAACACTGAAGATGACTACGAATTATTAAACAGACAGTGGCCAGCTACTCTCCTGGCCTGCATTGTAAAACTCAATGCAATGATTAACACTTTAGTCACCTATAGCAAACACCCCTCACAAATGGGTTCCTTTCTTTAATTTTGCATTTTCAAATATATCCTGAAAATAATTTCACATTCGAAAGTCATCCTTCATTTTACAGCTGCATGTCCTGTGGTTAGATTTATAACTTGAGCTGTTTCTATCATTATATCATTATAGTAACACAATGAACAACCATGATGTTCAAAAATACCATGTAGTATTTTTTCTTCTTTTTCCTCTGTGTCTTAGAAAAGGAGTTTCTAACACAGAGACAGCTGTAACAGAAGCAATGCATACACCAGTTTGAAAATGTAGCCAGACTCTCTATAGCCTATAGCAATTCTATAATCCTATGTACTTGCTGGCTTTGCCCCAAGGCCCTGCCAACCTATACAATGATTCCCAGGTGTCTATCAATACTGCTGGTGAGAAACATCTTCCTACCCTTGTAGAGATGTTGGAGAGTACAACACAGACTTACCTAGTTACTGTGTCTGTGTATATGTATGTGTATATGTATGTGTATGTGTATATGTACACATACTCACATAAATAGACACCTGGGTTTGATCCCAGAGCCATCTGAAAAGTTACAACACTCGCCCTGTGTAATTCAGAAGACTAAGGAGAACCCTACTGTCACTGAGGCCTTAGTTATGATCACCTACAGCACTGTAGCGTGGAGAATGGCGTGGAAAGCTCTCACATGCCATGGAATTCACCTGGGCACCAGCTTTTGAGTATTAGCAATTTCCCACTCCATTTATAAGGAAATACAACTGAGAACAGACACTGTTCAGCCCTGCTCTTCCTCTCCATGAAAACACTAAGAGCCATCTACCTGAGGCTAGAGAGGACACTTCCAATAAGACCTAGCTGCACGGAGGGATTATTTGAAACTATTAACTATGCATGTGCATAGTTAATGATATAACACATACTCAGGCAGAAACACAAAAAACATCAAAGAAACCAGAAAACCTGAAAGGCAGATTAGGAGTTGCCTATATCAATACAGAAGACTATTACAAATCAAAATTCATAAAGTAACTTCTGTCATCATAGTTTAACTTGTAACAGTTTAATCTGTAATTTGCCAACATTTTTTTTAAAAAAAATCTAACTCTAGAACACACACATTACTACCCATTCCTGATGCATTTTGCTTAAAATGTAAATTCAATTCAAAACTTTCACAAATTTTTAAATGAAAGAAGGTGCCTACTAAATCTCCAGGCTTATCGTGCATTTGGGGACTATAAAAAATCCTTCCCTCAATCATCTTAGCAATCAGGACCCACTTACCCTCTCTGTCACAGAGAACTGATGGGTGTCGGCTGAAATCTTGTATGTGTGTAGCTTTGTTGGCACAACTGTAATGAAATATTGGAACATCTGGTTGTCTATAACAAAAACAAAATATGCCTTCTCATCAATCCAGTAGCAACAGAACACTATCAAATCTATTAAATATGACAAGCATGAAAGCTAATATTACCATCTGCTTCAGTATGCAATAGATAAACAATTTTAAAAGAAAAGCTGGTGAAAACAATATACTCATATTTGGTAAAACAGAGTCCCACTTAGGACACAAGAAGTGTGGGGGAACCCGTGTTTGACGTAGTATGTAATAAATAATTGTAAGAACTGGCCATCTCCTGTGACCAGGCAAGACTACCAGTAGAGGGAGTGGGACACCAACACAACCATATAACCTTCAACCTACAGTCTGTCCTGCCTATGGGATATGCTGGGGTAAGGGTGACACAGAGACTGTGGGAGTGGCCAACCAATGACTGAGATCCATGCCAAGACAGTGAGCCTACCTCACATTGCCTGAAGCACCAGGACCCAGAGGTTACATGGCTCAGAGACCCAAGATAGAACCAAACCAAATAGGAGAAAAAAAGTCAATGTAATGATGCCTAATAACATTCTGCTATACTCATAGACTGGTGTCTAGCCTAACTGTCATCATAGAGGGTTCATCCAGCAGCTGGTGGAAATAGATGCATAGATTCACAGACAAACATTAGGCCAAACCTGGGGAATCCTGCTGAAGAGAGGGAGGAAGGACTGTAGGACACAAGAAACTCACAGATCAACTAACCTGGGCTCAGGGAAGCTCAGAGACTGAATTGGTAACCAGGGACATACTTTGCATGTATGTGATAGTTGAATAGCTTGGTCTTCTTGTGGGGCTCCACAAGTCACAGGGGCTGCCTCTGACTCTTTTATTGACTTTTGGGACCCTATTCCTCATACTGGGTTCCCTTTCCCAACCTTAATACAAGGCAAGTTGTTTAGTCTTAGCAAATTGATATGCTATCTTTTGCTGATATCCACGGGAGGCCTGCCCCTTTCTAAACAGAAAAAGAGGAGGGATGGGAGAGAGGCAGACTGGAGGAGGAAAAACTGCAGTCAGGATGCAAAATAAGTAGTATTTTAAAAAATGACAATGAAGACAATATACTCATATTTGGTAAAACAAAGCCCCAATTAAGACAAGAGAGTTGTGCAGGTGCCCATATGTACAGTTCAGGCATGACAACCATGCCTGGGACATAAGAAGGCAAAAGCAGTGTCTCTTCAGAGTAGAAACACCGATAAAACCTAGATGTTACTGCAACAGTAACCACAGTTCTCATTTCTGTTAATCTCCAATAAACCAGTAAACTAAAGTTGGACTTGCCTGACTCTGGATGTGGTGGTATTTTGTTTATGATCTATCAAATAAAACTTGCCTAAGGATCAGAGCACAGAGCTAGCCACACTAGTTAGCCAAGAGGTCAGGCAGTGGTGACACACACCTTTGATCCCAGCACTTG